TGTTTTTCAGCAATTTAGTTATTATGTGCTTGTTATGGCTTCCTTTGTGTTTTTTCTATTTAGGCTTCATTTAAATTCCTGGATCTATGAGTGTATTATTTTTCTTTCAAATTTGCAAATATTTCAGCCATTACTTTTTCAAATTTACTTTCTGCACCACCTCCTTTTGTTGATCCTGTCCTGCAGGTTGTTGAGTTTTTTTCTCTGTGCATTTCAATTTGGATAGTTTCTATTGCTGTGTCTTCAAGTTCACTGATCATCTCTTCCGCTGTTAAGTCTATCCAATGAGTTTTTCATTTCAAATACTTTATTTTTTGGCTCTAAAAATTCTGTTTGGTTTTTTTCATAATTTACTTTTCTCATCTCATCATATTCATGTTTTTCTTTAAATCCCTGAGCATATTTATAATAGCTGTTTTTAAAGTCATTGCCAATTCCATCATCTCTGCCATTTATGGATCTAGTTCTATCAACCAATTTTTCTCCTGGATTTTGGTCATATTTTCCTTCCTCCTCACAAACCTTGTAACATTTTTTTTTTTGAGGCAAAATTCACACAACATAAAATTAACCATCTCAGTGGCATTTGTTCACAATGTTATGTAACCATCACTTCTATCTAGTTATAAAACATTTTTGTCACCCCAAAAGGAAAGCCTATACCCATTAAGCAGTCACTCCACAATCCCTCTCTCCCCAACCCCTGGAAACCACCAATCTGCTTTCTGTCTCTATAGACTTACCTATGTTGAATATGTCATATAAGTGGAATCATATAACACGTGACCTTTTGTATCTGACTTCTTTCACTTAGCACAATGTTTCTGAGGCTCATCCACATTGTAGCATGTATCAGTACTTTATTCCATTTTTTTGTGTGTGTGTGAGGAAGACCAGCCCTGAGCTAACATCCAATGCCAATCCTCCTCTTTTTGCTGAGGAAGCTTGGCCCTGGGCTAACATCCGTGCCCATCTTCCTCTACTTTATATGGGATGCCACCACAGCATGGCTTGACAAGTGGTGCGTCGGTGCACACCCAGGATCCAAACCTGCAAACCCTTGGGCCGTGAAAGTGGAGCATGTGCACTTAACCACTGCGCCACCGGGCTGGTCCCCCTGTATTCCTTTTTATAGCTGATTTATATTCCATTGTATGGATGGACCACATTTTGTTTATCCATTCATCAGTTGATGGACACTTGGGTTGTTTCCACCTTTTGGCTTTTGTGAATAATGCTCCTATGAACACTCGTGTACAAGTATTTGTTTGAATATGTTTTCAATTCTTTTGCATATATACCCAGAAGTCAGATCGCTGGATATGGTAATTCCATGTTTAAGTTTTTGAAGAACTGCCAAACTGTTTTCCACAGCAGCTGCACCATTTTACATTGCCACCATCGGTGCACAAGGGTTCCAGTTTTTCTATATCCTTGCCAAGACTTGTTTTTTATTATTATTACAGTCATTCTAGTGAGTGTGAAATGATACCTCGTGTGTCTTTGATTGCATTTCCCTGATAGCTAATGATGGTGAGCATCTTTTCATTTGCTGTTGACCATTTGTATATCTTCTTTGGAGAAATGTCTATTCAAGTCCTTTGCCCATATATATATATATATATTTTTTTTTCTTTTTCGCTGAGGAAGATTCTCCCCGAGCCAACATCTGTTGCCAATCTTCTTCTTTTTTTGCTTCAGGAAGATTAGCCCTAAGCTAACATCTGTGCCAATCTTCCTCTATTTTGTATGTGAGCTGCTGCCACAGCACTGTTGATGATCCACGCCCGGGATCCGAACCCATGAACCCGGGCTGCTGAAGCAGAGCTCGCCAAACCCAACCACTACACCATGGTGCCAGCCACCCATATTTTTAATTGGGTAAGTCTAGTAACTTTTTATTGGATGCTTGATTCTGGGTATTGTGACTTTTATGTTCCTGAGTGTTGTGTTGTTGTTGTTTCCCTTTAAGGAGCGTTGAAGGTTTTGGCAGGCAGCTGGGTGATGTTTGACCATTCTGTTCCTGTCAAGGCTTATTCTCCACACTCCTGGTTGGGGGGGAGTAGCCTTTATCTGGAGGTAGTTTAGTCAATTCACAGAGGTGTGACCTGTCCAGGGTCTCTCCTGAATGTCCCGGTGTCCACCCTAGCTGCTTGGCACTTAAAGCTCTCCCCTGCCCATGTGAAACCAGAGAATTATTCAGCTCACAGCCCCCAAGTTCTTTGTATGGACTCGTGTAAGTTGCTCCTGCCTGCCGTGGTGCTCAGTGGCGGGGTCGAGTGAACCCTGTTTGTTTCTGTTTTCCTGAGATCATAGCCCTGCGCTGCTGTTGCCCAGTGTTTGCAGATAGTTGTTTACCATACTTTGTCCGGTTTTCCAGCTGTTCTTTGAAGAAGGGCGTGTCCAGTACCAGTGGCTCCATCATGAGCAGAAGGAGAAGTCCCTCATTCCTTCCTTGTTCTTTTTCTCTTGCGTATACCCCACCCCTCTCACTTTATGTTGAGATACAACTGAAGTATAGTAAACTGCACATATTTAAAGCACATGATTTAAACAATTTTGATGTGAGTATACACCCCTGAAACCATTACCACAACTGAACATTTCTATCACCTCCAAAAGTTTTCTTGTACCACTTTCAATCCATCTCTCTCTCCACTCCACTCCAAGGCCATCACTGACCTGTAGTTGGCATTTTCTAGAATTTTGTATAAATGGAATCCCCACAGTGTACTCTTTTGAGGAGAAGTCTGGCTTCTTTAGTAGCATAATGATTGTGAGATGCATCCATGTTGTGTGTATCAGTAGTTTCTTTCCCTTTTTGCTGAGTAGTATTCCATTGTGTGGTCACACCACGTTTTGTTTCTCCCTTCCTCTGTTTCAAATGTTGGAAGCACATCTGGGTCGTTCTCAGTTTGCGGCTATTAGAGATAAAGCTGCTGTGAACATTTCTGTGCACGTCCGTGTGGACATGTGTGTTCATTTCTCTGTGGCAACTATCTAGGTGGAGAATGCGCCTGGGTCATGATAAATATACATTCAACATTTTAAAAAACTGCCAAATTGTTCTCTAAAGTGGTTGTAGCATTTACCCTCCCATCAACGGTGTCTGAGCACTCCAGTCCCTCCACACCCTCACCGACACTTGGTGTGGCCAGTCTTCTTAACGTTAGCAACTCTAGTGGGTCTGCAGCGGAATCTCACGTTCTAATTTGCACTCTCCTTCCGTTTCAGAGGCTTACTTCACTCTGCCACTAGACCCCACACATTGCCCTGGCCTCCGTCCCACCACACTGATCTCTCCTTCTCAGTCTTGAAGGCCATCTTGCAAACTGTTTCTTTCTTATTTATTTATTTATCCCCCAAAGCCCCAGTAGATAGTTGTATGTCATAGCTGCACATCCTTCTAGTTGCTGCATGTGGGACGCGGCCCCAGCATGGCCGGAGAAGCGGTGCGTCGGTGCGCGCCCGGGATCCGAACCCGGCCCGCCAGCAGCGGAGCACGCACTCAACCACCAAGCCACGGGGCCGGCCCGCAAACTGTTTCTTACAGGTCTACAGTGAAATAAATCAGAAATGGAGAAGAAGAGTTAAGAAACTCTTACAGCTATAGGACAGAGTCATTTTATGACTGTTGAATCTAATACAAATTTTGGGCTTTATTTTGTATGTCTATGGTTTTTAAATTTTTTTTCTAGCAACTCATTTTTATTGTATTTTACAAGATTATTGGTCTGCAACAGATTGAACTATTTTAAAACTGTGGGTCCTCAGACAGTTTGGGAGCTCATCCCGAACGCTGGAGGCCCCAGGCCCTGCCTCACCCTCTCCAGGTGCCGACTCACTCCCTGGTGATCTTGCCTCGCTGCTGCTTTGAATGACGCCCCACACCAACACCTCCAGGGTATGTCACCTGTCCCCACATTCCAAAGTCATGTCTGTCTATGATTTCCACTTGGATGTCATATCAGCATCTTAAAATGTCCCAATTCCTAATCTCTCTAAACCTGCTCTATCCACTGCTCCCCATCTCAGCCCTGTCTTTCCAGACACCCTGGACCCTGAACTTGGGGGTCATCTGAGATTCTTCTTTCTCTCACACCCGCAGCCCACCCACAGCAAATCTCGGAGCTGTCCACCCTTTCACACCCCCACCGTTTCCTCCTCTCTCTGCTTCCTCCCTGCTCTAGCCCCTGGTCTCATTCACAACAAGGGCCCTCCTGCTCTGCCCTCTCCCAGCGCTCCAGCCACGCGGGGCCTCCGTGCAGTTCCAGCGCGCCGCGCACACTCTCACTCGGAGCCTTTGCCTGGCTGTCCCCTCGCTGCTCTCCCCTAGCGTCCACTGGCGGGTGCTCCCATTTCCTTCCCTGGCCACCCCCGCCCGCAGGCCTCCTTACCTCGCTTTCTTTTTCTCCGAGGCTCTGATCGCCGCGTGGCGCGTGACCTCAGCGCACAGCAGCCCCTCTCAGCCGGTCCTGCAAACTCTCACCTCCTCCAGCTCTGCTCTCCCAGCCGCTGGCCGGGAAGGCCCCGCCCTGGCACTCCCCCCAGGCTCCTCGCGGCGCCTCAGCACGCGCCCATCCAGGCGCTCGCACCCGCTGGGGAGGGCGCGGCCCCTGCCCCCAAACAGCGCCCGAGTGGATGGGCGAGCTGTCCACCAGCGAGTGATCCCCTAACCGTCAGCACCACCTTGGCAGAGTCCAGAAGTAAGGCGGAGGGTGGAAAGAGCATCCCAGGCCGTGGGCACCGCGCGTGCAAAGGCCCAGAGTTGGCAGAGAGGGTCCAGGAGCTGCAGAAGGCTCCTTGGGGCGGAGGTGGGAAATGAGCGGAGGGAGGCACCTTCTTGGGGGTCTGGCTGGGGCAACCTGGGAGCGCAGACTTGAGGGCAGCCAGGGTAGGGGGCGGCGCCCCTGGTGGGGCGGGGCTCCTGGTGGCCCCGGGTTGGACGGGGCTTGGGCTGCAGACCCCGCCCCATTTCGGCCGGCGCAGGCGCAGGGAGGCGCCGCCGGTTCCCACGGCAACCGGGTTCAACAGTTCCAGCCCAGCGGTGTCCGGAGGCCTCCGGGCGCCCAGCGGCCGGCATGAGCGCCGCCGAGGTGGACCGTCACGTAGCCCAGCGGTACCTGCTCAAGCGGCGGCTCGGGAAGGGGGTGAGCGCGGGAGGCCCGGGAGTCTGTTCCCTCTCACCCTGCCGAGACTCCTCCACGGACTGGAGGTGTGGCCCTGGGCAGGTCACCGAGCCCCTCGGTGTCTGGGCCTCCTGTAACAGGGCCCTAACCGTGCCTACTCCCAAGGAACTTGTCACTTGGCTCCCAGAGCCAAGTGACAGCCGGGGCCCCCAACGGTCTCAGGCCGGAGCCATCCTGGAGCCCCAGCCACCATCCCCTGCTGCCGGGCTGCCTCCCCCAGTGCCCCCAGGGCGCTCTGGGGAGGCCAGGCCCGCCCACTCTAGGCGCCTAGGGGGAAGGGCAGATCCCAGGCCGGGCCGGGGAAGGGCCTGAGCAGTAAACCGGGTGGGCATGTAGTGGGGGCCAGAACCGTGTGTGCGCCTGTGTGCGTTTGTGATTGTGTGTGAGCATGTGGGGTTGTGTATGAGCATGTGTATGTGAAGGCATGTGACTGTGTGGATGTGAGTGTGTAACAGGGCAGGGGAGAAAGAGCAGTCCAGACAGTGCTAACAGCAAGTGCAAAGGCCCTGAGGCAAGGACCTGCTTGGCTGTCAGAGAAACAGCAGAGTTGGTGTGACTGAATAGGAATGACAAGGGACCGGGGGGGGGGTCCCATTATGTGGGGCTTTGGCTTCTACTGTGAGTGACATGGGGAGCCGTAGCAGCCGTTGGTACCACTTTACAAGGCTCACCCTGCCCGCTCTGTCGAGGATGGACAGTGTGGGTGGGCGAGGGAGATTAGTTCAGAGGTTAGTGTAGTGATCCGGGTGAGAGATGCAGGAGGCTCAGCCCAGGGTGGGGCGTCAGAGATGGAGGATGTGGTCGGATTCTGATGACTTCTGAAAGTGGAGCCAACAGGATTTGCTGACAGGGTGGATAGGGTACGTGAGAGAGGGGGGTTAGGGTGCCTGGAGGGGGGAAAGGCCGTCCCTGAGAAGGCACAGGCTTCAGTTTCTGCCCAGAAGCTCTCATCTGTGAGCTCATTTCCTCCTGGGGCCTCCATCTCCCCTCGCTTCCCATCACCTCCTCCAGAAGACACTGGAGCCCTGGGCAGCAGGCTGGGCAGCCTGTAGCTGCAGGGGCCTGCTCAGAGCCACAGCCCCTCACACCCCCATCTGTCCCCTCCCAGGAGCCAGAGTGGGAAGGAGGAGCCTCGTGTCTGCAGGGGGCAGTCTAGTGGGCAGGGGATGGTCAGGCAGGAGGCTGGCCCCGGGCCTAGCAAGCTGACCGCCCTCCTGCCCAGGCCTACGGCATTGTGTGGAAGGCGGTGGATCGGAGGACCGGCGAGGTTGTGGCCATCAAGAAAATCTTCGATGCCTTTAGGCATAAGACAGATGCCCAGGTAAGTGAATGGGGAAGAGGTGTGGGAAAGGACCAGGGCAGGGGTGTGGGGGTGACCCTTGCCACCTTGGTACCTGGAAGCTCCAGCGCAAACTTGAAGCCCAGTCACAGCAGGTTTCCGGCATTTCTCAGAGCAGCACCCCCTGAGACCGCGTGGTCCAGTGGGTGTGCGGGTGGCGAGCATCAGTCCCGCTGGATCTTTTCCACGTGGCCTTCCTTCTCGTCCTCCCCCACACTCGTGTTTCTGTCTCATTTCAGAGAACGTTTCGGGAAATCATGCTGCTCCAGGTGAGTGGCCAAGGCCATCCACCCACTTCCCCAGGTGCAGTCTTTCAGACAAGGGGGAAGCCTGGCCCCTCGACCCCTGACCCAGCCCCCGGCTCTCTCCCCAGGAATTTGGGGACCACCCCAACATTGTCCGCCTCCTGGACGTGATCCCGGCAGACAACGACAGGGACATCTACCTGGTGTTTGAGTCTATGGGTGAGTGAGGCCTCGCTCAGACCCAGCCCCACCTCTGTCCTGGCCCGGGCTCCCTCTGTATGTCCCTCTGCTGCTTGGGTCCCTGCAGTGGCCAGTGGTGACCACCTTGACCCCACCTCCATGAGGCTCCTGCTTCGTCCACTGTTTGTGGTTGCATTTTCCTTTCTCTACTCATTTTATAAAACAAAAGCAACATGAAATCAAGTATTAAAAATAATTCCACACAGTTTTACTGCTGTGCTGACAAAGGCAGTGAGCAGGCCTGAGAAGCCTGAGGGGACTGCCAGGCAGTGTGCACGTGCAGGACATGGCTCTGGGGGTGGCCAGCGGGGCCTGGGGACTGCAGGCACTGGGTGGGCCGAGGATACCTCAGAAGGGCGCAAAGTGGGACAGACCTGGCCCCCTCACCCCGGGCCCCCCAGGCTGACCTGCGTGTCCCCCCAGACACTGACCTGAATGCCGTCATCTGCAAGGGCGGCCTGCTGACGGACATCCACAGGCGCTGCATCTTCTACCAGCTCCTGCGGGCCACCAAGTTCATCCACTCAGGACGTGTCATCCACCGGGACCAGAAGGTGCCACCCACACTCTGTTTCCTGAGCCCTGAGCCGTGTGTGTGCCCACCAAGGCAACCTCGAGCCCTGGCCTCGTCAGCCCTCACCTCCCTCCTCTCCCCCAGCCGTCCAACGTTCTCCTGGACGCCAGCTGCTTGGTGAAGCTCTGTGACTTCGGCCTTGCCCGTCCCCTCAGCGGCCTCCCTGAAGGGCCGGAGGGCCAGGCCCTGACAGAGTATGTGGCCACACGCTGGTACCGGGCTCCGGAGGTACTGCTGTCCTCGAGCAGGTAACAGTGACACACACACCCCTGCCCCCTCTCACCCCCGCATGCCCTCTTGCCCACCCAGGGCCCCCAGGCCTTCCTCTGCCCTAGCACACATCCTCACAGCTCCTCCCAGCACCCCAGACCCTGGCCCCCTGAATGTCCCTCCTCCCACTCCCACCTCTGCTCTGGGGTCCCCCCACGCCTCCACCCCTTCTTGCCCCAGGTACACCCCTGGGGTGGACATGTGGAGTCTGGGCTGCATCCTGGGGGAGATGCTTCGGGGGAGGCCCCTGTTCCCTGGCACATCCACACTCCACCAGCTGGAGCTGATCCTGGAGACCATCCCACCACCATCTGAGGAGGGTGAGCATGTGGGGGGGGGGGTCCACTGGGCACCAGGGACGCTGAGGGTCAGAGCACACCGCTGTGGGGAGACAGGGCCTGACAGGCCAGGACTGGTAGGGAGGAGGATGGGGAGGGCCCAGAAGCCTCAGGAAGATGCGGACACTGGGCCCAAGGAGGAGCTGCTGGGGTTTTGAGGAGCGACTGGGCAGAGTCTGCAAGGCAGCAGGGCCTGGCCACCAGGTCCATGAGGGCCAAGCAGTGCCCACGAAGGGCCAGCTGGGTCAGGACAAGAGTGCTGGCCCAGCTGTGCTAGCACTCCCTGCTGTGCTGGGAGCTGAGCTGGGGAAGTCTGGGGAAGAGGGGGAGGAAGGCAGCAGGGGAGGAGGGGCTGCAGGGGTCCTTCCTGTTCGGGACGCGGGAGTGGGGGGGGTGGGGCAAGAAATAGGTGAAGGACCTGGTGGAGGGAGCCCTGTTCTCCCCCAAGTCTCTGGTTTCCTGGGTAGAGAGGGCAAGGGGCTCCTCCATGGAGGTGGGGGTGCCACGATGTGCTGGGCCTGCGTGCACATGTGAGCATGGGCTCATGTTGATGGTGTAAGAGTGTGCGAGGGCGGTGCATGTGTGGGTGCACACAGGCACACGTGGGTGCACGCGTCCAGATATCTGGGGTTCGAGCCCTGACAGCCAGCCTAAGCCCTGCAGAGAGGTCACTCCATGGGGCCAGAAGAGAGGGCCCCAGAGCTCCCTGAGCACCCCACCCCACCAGGCCCTCCTGGTCACACCGCTTACTGCCACCCACCCCGCAGACCTCCTGGCTCTGGGCTCCACCTACAGCGCCTCTGTCCTGCACCGTCTGGGGGCCCGGTGAGTGTGGGTGCTTGGGAGCCGGCCTCCAGCCTCTTCCTGTAGCCTTGCTGGCCAGTGTGTGCCAGCCCAGCCCTGCTCTCCCGATGATGGTCTCAAACCCAGCAACTGTTGGTCACGCTAAAAGCGTCTGCCCAGCTCAGCCTGGGGCGGGGGGAGGGCCCGCGGGAGCTGGGCCGGGTGCAGAGAGGAGGGGACCGGAAGACAGTCTGCCCGAGAGTCCTGCGTCGGGGGGGGGGGGGGGCGGTGATCCAGAGAGACAGTTAAGGGGCGGGGCCGAGGGTTGGAAGCCGAGCCCGGACCACAGACGTGGATATGGGGAGAGGCCGCGGCCTGGAGAGGGGATAATACTCGGGCCGCTGCAGGCCACGGCAGACGCTGGACGCCCTCCTGCCGCCCGACACCCCCCCGGAGGCCCTGGACCTCCTCAGGCGACTCCTGGTGTTTGCCCCGGACAAACGGCTTAGTGCCGCCCAGGCCCTGCAGCACCCCTACGTGCGGAGGTAGGGGCGGGAGAGAGCGGGGTCCCCCGGGCCAGCCCCCCACGTGCCGGGTTGGGGGTTGGGTGCCCATCCTGGGCTCGGTCTGAGAGGCCTGCCTGAGAGGTCTCGCTTCTCCCGCCGCCACCTCGCTGGCTTCCCGCAGGTTCCACTGCCCGGCCCGGGAATGGGCCCTGGAGGCGGATGTGCGGCTCCCGGTGCACGAAGGAGTCCAGCTCTCGGCCCCCGAGTATCGCAGCCGCCTCTATCAGGTGCTCCGGCCCGCGTACCCCATCATTCCCCAGCCACGCGCACCCTTGAGGCCTCCCCCTGCCTCAGCGACCCCAGATACTCCGCCCCCTACGCCCAGCCGCGCCCCTCCCTCCCGCAGATGATCCCGGAGCGCAGGGGCAGCAGCAGCGTGCCGAGAGAGAACGGCCTGGGGGGCGGCCCTTCGGGGGCGGAGCACAGCGCCCCCCGGCCCCGGGCGCCCCCGCCCAAACCCGGAGCCTCCACCGCGCTGCCCTCGGGCTCGCCGGCGCAGAACCCTGGACGCAGGCCTCAGAGTGGCCCCGGCCAGGAGCCCGCGCGCGGTGTGTGATCGCTGACGGCGCCCACCCCGAGCCGGCCTGGCCCCTTCTGGGTGGGACACCAACTGTCCGCAGCCGGACTCCTAACCCCGGGGGATGATCTTCCGACCCCACAGAAGCCCCTGGCGGAGCCACGAGCCTTCCCAGGCAGAGCTCGGCCCCCCTGCTCCAGCCTCCACTCCCAGGAGGTCCTGGGAGAGGGGAAAGGCCCCCCGGGGCGACGGCAGCGCCCCCCTCGGCACCCTCGTGGGTAGGTCGTGGGAGGGTGGCCGCAGGAGGACCCCTCCCACTGTACTTCTCCCAGGGCCGGTAGCACCCAGGTCCCTCAGTGACCCTGTGACGTGCCCCTTCCCAGGTGAAGCCCAGCGTGAGGGGGGCGGCGACCTCCCTGACCTCGCAGGCCGCCGCCCAGGTGGCCATTCAGGCCCTGATCCGGAGTGACCGCGACCCGGGCAGAGGGGTGAGGGCGGCCGGCGCGCCACGGGTGAGCCGGCCCTCGCCTCCCTCCCGTCCGCCCTACCCCGCCCCCCTCCTCCTCTCCGGCCGCGCCACCCCCTGACGGGGACCCTCGACTGCATGCAGGTCCCCCACGGGCTTCCCCGCAAGCCCCGGCCTGGCCGGAGGATGTTCGGCGCCTCGGCCTTGCAGGGGGCCCAGGGGGCCGCGCGGGCCGCGCTCGGGGGCTACTCGCAAGCCTACGGCACCGTCTGCCGCTCGGCGCTGGGCCGCCTGCCCCTGCTCCCGGGACCCCGCGCGTGAGCTGCCCTCTCACCCTCAACCCGCGCACGCCCGCCCCCCCACTCCAGGCCCCGGATCAACCCCCCCTCCGACGCCCAGCACTCTCCACCCCCCTTTTCCCCACCCCTCCCTTCCTTGTCTAGCTTCTTGTCCAGGCCTCTGTGGGGGGTAGATGAGGTTCCCACCCCAGCCCCAATCACTTCTGCCAATAAAGTCTTGTCAGTCTCCAGCCTAGCTGCCCACCTTCACTCTCACTAAGGGACTCCCTCTGAGGCCACAGTACCGGTTTCCAGAGGACCCCCTTCGGAGGACCCTGTCCCATATCTAGGACAGACCCCATGAGAAGCCGTGTTGTTACCATCTGCTGTCACCCTGTGGCTCCTGTCTACCCGGCGCCCAGTGTTTTCCCTCCAGGCTCAGGGCATCTAAGACTTGGCTGAGGGGTGCCTTGCGGCCAGCTTCCTGTCCCTTGTCCACACACGCCATGGGGCCTTCCTGGTGCCAAGCTGTCAGATCCCAGCCTGGACCTGCTACAGGGTCCATGCTGTCCCCAGGGTCGTCCTGGCAGGGCAGGGACCTGTGCCTGGGCGCAAGCCACCACGTGACCACATTTGTGACCCTGAGCCAGAGAGGAAAAGGAGAAGAGATAATGAGGCAGTGCCCCAGGGCACAGACCCTGACTGTGGTCATTGTCAGTGACCCCAGCCTGTGCCCCCCCACACAGTGACTGGCTCCTGGTTTGTCCTGGGGGAGGGTGGGGGACACCCTAGGGATGTCTTGTGGGGCTCAAGGCTACCTCCTCTGGTCACCACCCGGCAAAGGGCCTGGTGTGAGTCTGGTCCAGGGGTGTGGGGGGTAGGGGGAGATCCAAGGGGCCTAGCAGGCATGAGCTGTACCTCATGGTTCCATGAGTGCCCCGCACGCACCTGACTCTGTGCAGGGACCAGAACACAGGCAGCCGCCTGGCTGGGGGGGCTCGAAGCCTAAGGGGTGAGGCCTGTGCTGTGTTGAGGGCCAGGCTGCCAGGAGCAGGGAGCTCTGCCCTCCTGTAAAAGCCGCTGGCTAGTTGCTGCTGGGGAACAGACGGGAGGGGTGAGGCGTGGGCAAGCAGAGCTGGGTGGAGGGTGGGCCCAGACCAGGCGGCTGCAAGAGAGATTCAGAAAGCAGAGAGAACAGGGCTTGGGAGGAGCTGATGAAGGCGAGGCTGAGGATGAAGGCCACAGTTTGGGCTTGGAGATGGGCCAGCTGCCGAGGGGGCAGCTTGTTGAGTTTCTGGAGCCTGAGGCATAGCCCTAAGGTGATGGAGAAGGGGGACAGACAAGGCTGTGGGATGAATGCTACTGCCCAGAGGGAGCAGGGGGTGCCCAAGGCAGTCCAGCCCTGCGCACAGAGGCAGGGCCGCTGGCATGGGAGGGCTGGGAGCCCGGACACCTGGGGAGTGGCCACTTCGTACCCAGGGTAGAGGAGGACTCAGATGCATGGGAGCCACAAGATGAGGCTGGGAAGTGTCTGCTGGCCTTGGTGACCAGGGGAGTGCCCATGGGGTGTGCCTACACGGAGGGCTGGGCCGCCCTGAGGAGGGGGAGCAGACGGCTAACTGAGGGTGTTAAGCGGCCTGTCACGGGAAGGGGCTGAGAAGCAGAAGGAGTTTGTGTTGGGTTAGAAGATTCGGGTAGAGGTACTGGCAGAGCAGGTGGGGAGGGTGGTGGTGTCCCGAGGGAAATCTGAGAAGTTCATAGGGCTAAAGGTTACAATGTATAACTAGGTGATTATATATATTTGGGAATGTGTTGGAATATTTTGTGCATTGTGTTTTATTGTTAACACCAAAATGTGCAGAACCAAGTTTGGGAAGATGTCTTATTCAGCACGACCTGGAGGTGCAGACAGGAGGCTCCGAGCCCGGGCCCTGGCCTCCCCACGGGCAGCACGCTCCACTTCCTGCGATGGCTCTCCCTCAGCGACAGGCCTGGACTGGTCTGCTCAGAACAGCGACGCACCAGGCGGTGTGAAAACGCACTTGTCAGCAAGCACGTCAAGGCCAAGAGATGCTCCAGCTCATCCAGCTCCCCAGTGACCTTTTCCACCTGAACAAAGTCCCTGCTGTCACCCCTACTTGGGTGGTGGCTTCGGTAACCAGGCTGTGAGCTGTCCACCAGCTGGAAGCTGCTTGGAGTCAGAACTGCTGTCTGCGCTCAGTGGCCTTGTTTCTTAAACCCTTTCCCAGTCTGAGCGATTGGAATTTCTCATACTTAAAAAAACCAAAAACTATTTGAAAAGAAAGAGCACAAACAGTAATTTCACAATGATAGCACCTACACTGGGGGACATTCTAAGCATTTGGTGACAAAATGTGTCATTCCAAATAGAAATTACTCTGTGGAGGTGAAAAACATACAGGAAGGGTAAGCGAGGACCTTGGGCACATTTTGCCCATTGGTGACAAAGGAAAGGACCAAGAAAACGGTGGAGTCGGGTCTGCTGGGTGCCTGCAGGGCAGGACCACTCCCACCTTGTGGGGGTGCCAGGACCCCTCAAGCAGTGGGTTGGGGCTCAGGCGCCACTGCACCGTGTCCTCGGTCCTCACCTGTTCAAGTACAAGTGCTCCACATCAGCCCCTTTCCGGGGCGTGGCTGGGTATGGTGCCTGTGAACATGTGTCTGTCTGGGCGTGTGGGGAGCCTTCACGAGGCTGGGGCGGTGCATCAACCATCCAGACTGGTTTTATTGTGCCACAAAGCCTGGTGCTCTCACTTCCTGCCAGGTACTGGCCAGAGCCTTGCTGGATGAGCGGCCAGGCCTGCTTCAGTTTTTCTGGCAGGGCAGCCCTTCAGGGGTCTTCTTCTAACCCCCTCCCACCCTGCCAGTGGCCCACCCTATTGCGCTTCCCAAGAGGAGCATCCTTTGGGTCTGGCTCCACCCCTCTCTCACAGACTGCCTGCAAGCAGCCCTGCCTCCCCACAGAAAAAGGATGGCCACCAAGAAAGGTGCCAGCAGGCAGGAGGGAGGCAGCAAGAAGGAATCCAAGCAGGGCTGGAAGTGAGCCTTGAGTGACCTGAGGCGAAGGTGGAGAGAACCAGCCCTGAGGAGGTGGGAGGCCCAGAGAGGCCGGGGCTGCCAGGGGACAGCAAAGAGGCAGGAGAGTGAAGACACAGCACAGCCAGGAGGCCAAAGGGGAACCCTGAGACACAGAAGCCCTGAGACACAAGGCCCCGAGAGAATGTGGCACTGAGGCACAAGGACATGGGGTCCTCCTGAAAGATGGGGGACTGAGGCACAAAGAGATGGGTCCCCAAAAGATGGGGGACTGAGGCACAAAGGGCCCCCAAAAGATGGGGGACTCGGGCACAAAAATAGGGCCCCCAAAAGATAGGGGACCTGGGCATAAAAATGGAACCCCCGACAGATGGGCCCTGAGGTGAATGAAGGCCCAAAGGGGACCTGAAGCCAAAAGAGGTGGTGGAGGCAGAGGGGTAAGAAGGGAAAGGCTGAGGACCCAGAGACTGAGGTGCTGAGAAGAGACAGAGGTGGGGGAGTAAGGCATGGGACACTGAGGGGCTGGAGCCCCTAGGGCAGAGAGGCCGAGGAGCGACAGGCAGGGTGTCCACCAGGTCACTACAGGTGGAGCCGAGCTCTGGCTGTGCTCAGCCGGGTTCCTAACTGCTTTGGCATGAGGGCCAGGTGCTCTGCGTGATGAGTGGCAGTGATGCAGGCACCCCGACCTGGGCTGGTGGGCCAGGAGACTCACTTCTTGCTTTTGAACGTACCCAGGATCTTGGGCATGAACTTGCCCACCTTGCTGTCCCTGGCGTCCTCCTCCGCCGGGCTCTCCCCTGTCCCCAGGCCGCCAGCGTCCTCCTTTTTACAGAAGACCTCAAAGCGGCTGTAGACGCGCTTCTCCTTGCGCATGCTCTCCATGCGGCGGAGCAGCCGGTCGCGCTCCTCTGCGCTGGCTGGCAGTGTGCGGCTCAGCCGGCCTTGTGTCCCCAGGCTGTCAGAGCGGAAGATGGCCGAACATTTGTCCTTGTCGGACATATCAGGGGCCAGACCCCCGGCAGCTGGTGGGCGGCCTAGCTCAGGGCTGCTGTGGGTGGGGCCTGGACCCGGGGCGGGGGCGGGGACTCCACGGTGCTTCTGGCCGTGGGCGCTGATCTGCTCCAGAATGGCCTTCGTGTCATCCCGCAGGTTGCTGCTGTACAAGGCATTGGCCGTGGCTGAGACCACGCGTGCCCGCGGGCCCCGCTCCTCTCCTGTGGCAGCCTCTGTGCTGTCACCCCGGCCCAGGGAGGGCCGCCGGGGGCTCTCCGGCTGCCCGTTCTCCTGTGGTGCTGGGAAGCCGCTCTCACCTTCTGCGCGACGCTCGCCCTTGGGACTCAGCAGCTGCCGAAGGCGCAGGGAGCCCTTGCGCAGGACCTCCATGGGGCCGCCAGCCGCCTCCTCCGCGGGCCCAGTCTTCGGAGACTCCCCGGAGAAGGTAAGAGTAAGGCTGCCCCTGCGCTCCGGCACCGGGGGCACTGGGCTGCTCCTGCGCTCCGGCACGGGAGGCAACGGGCTCCCCCTGTGCTCGGGGTAAGTCGAGGTGGGGCTCCCCTTGCGCTCCGGGTAGGCTGAGGTGGGGCTCCCCTTCTGCTCAGTCAATCCTGCGGTTGGGCTACCTTTGTGAGCAGGAAACCCAGGAGTGGGACTCCCCTTCCGCTCGGGGTAGGCTGAGGTGCGGCTGTCTTTTGGCTCAGAGTGGGACGCCTGGTGCGCCCCGGGTCCCTCCGGCGGGGGACTGTCCCGCCCTTGCGGGGAGGTGGAGCGGCCCTGGGCGGAGAGGAGGCGGGAGGGCACCCGATCGGCGCCACTCCAGCCTAGCGTGTCGAGCAGCTGGGTGGCAGTGAGCGTGGCAGCTCCCGGCTGCCGCTCGGCCTCCTGGTGCAGCCGCTGTGCGAAGGAGTCGCGCAGGTCTAGCAGGCAGCTCTCGAGGCTGCGGCGCTCGCCCGCCGCGCCGCCTGGCGCTGCCGCCTCTTCCCGCCACGCCTGGGACACGACAGCCTTGCTATGGCTGCCGACGGTGACTGCGGCCCCCTCCCCGCCGGGATCACGTGCCGGGCCCTTGTACTTCTCCAGGAGCTCGGCGACCTTGGCGGAGGCGGAGGAGCGCACGGCCTCGCCGCCGGGGCCCAGCATCTCGCTGACGGCCTGCTCCTTGTGCAGCACCTGCACCTTCTCGGTGGTGGCCGCCGCGGCCCCGCCCGCGCCCTCCGCCTGCGTCGAGCTGAAGATGAGCGAGGAGCGCAGCCGCGAGCTGCGCTGGATCAGCGGGGTCAGGCGCGAGCGGAAAGCGTCCTGCTTGGCCAGGCCTGCCTCCTCTGGACCCTCGCGCTCTGGGCCCTCGCCGCCACCGCTGCCAGAGCCGGGCACTGGGCCCTTGGCCGGGAAGGACGCGGGCACGCGGAAGGCCGAAGGGAGTAAGTCCCCGCCGGCCCCCCGGCCCCCGGCCCCCAGCACGTCGTCCTCGTAGGCCTCGCCCTCCATGGGCGCGGGCAGGCCCTCGTCGCCCGCATCGTCGCCGTGGCAGCCGCTCAGGTAGGAGGCCAGGCGCCAGTGCCGCAGCCCGGCCCGCCCCTCGGGCCCGCCCCTGCGCTCCGGCTCTGCCTCGGGCGCGGTCTCGGGGCCCAGCCTCGCCGCTGCCTGGCACGGGAAGCGCTGGCTCAGGCTGGGGCGTGGGGCACCGCCGGGGGCCAGGCCGCGGAGGCCGGGCCCGAAGTTGGAGTCCGAGCCGTGGCGCACCTCGCGCGAAGCGCCGGACGGCACGTAGTCCAGCCGCTGGTGTCCGTCCGCGCCGAGCTCGGGGAAGCGGGGCCCAGCGCCCAGCGCGAAGTCGTCGGGGTCGCCGAAGCCCGGGCGGCCGGCACGTAGCTTCTCGAACAGGCCCTGCGGGCGCGCTGGCGCGAGCTGCGAGTCCCACTGGTAATGCTGCTGGTAGAGCTGGTCGCGGTGGAAGTGGCTGGTCTGGAAGCGGAAGTCGTCGCCGTGGCTGAGGAACGTCTGCCGCGACACCTGCCGCGCGGCCGCGAAGTTCTCCACCGCGCCCGTGCCGTCGGCGGCCGCGTAGCTGTGCCGCTTGATGGCGTCCATCTCCAGGTGCCGCGCCTGGAAGAAGCCCCGCGGGCCCGCGAGCTCCCCGCCTGGTCCCGTCTCGGCGTCCAGCCGCCGCGACAGCGGCCGCAGCCCCGCGTGAGGCTCCAGGGCGCCCCCGGGCATCCGCAGTGGCTCCTCCCGGCGGAAGGCCGACAGGAAGTGGCGGTCGGGGTCGAGGAAGGAGGGGAACCCCAGACCCTCTTCCCGAGGCGGTGGGAACAGGAGGTGCGCTCGTTTGGAGAAGAAGGGGGTCGGTACCCCGGCCACCTGGCCGCTCATGAGGGGCCCGCCCCCCGCGTATGGAGCCAGGGCGTAGGCGTCTATGCGGGCCAGCTCCCCCGCCGAGGGCACCAGCGGCTCGGACTGTGCGAAGAGGATGCGGAATTCCTCATCGAAGCTGGAGACCAGTTCGCCCTGGAACACGTGCGCCAGGCTGCGGTGGATCTTCTCGAAGGACCACATGAAGCTGCAGGGGGAGCAGAGCCATAGTCAGACGGAGGGGACAGGCTGAGCAGCAGCGAGAGGCGCAGAGCCCCGCCTGTGGCTCCGAAGTGTCAAGTCTGCAAGGGCTCAGGCGGGGCTGTGTCAGAGGCTACAGGAGGGGGGCTTCTGGAGAGGAGGCCCTCGGGTGGGGAGGCGCTGGGGCTGCGGGGCAACGGGGCTGGGCGCACCTGTAGCTCCCACTCATCACCACGGCACAGTCCACCAGGAGGAACTTCTCCTTCACATGGCCCTGGAAGGACTTCCCGGTGCGGCAGTAGTAGGTGGGGCCTGCCACAGTGCGCACGCGCAGGAACTGGGGAGGGAGAGGCGTTAGGTCTCTGCGGAGGGGGGCTCTCCCAGTCCCTACACGCCCCCTCCCCAGCACTCACGTCCACGTGGTGCAGGTTGACACGGCATTTGTCGGCCATGTCTAGGAAGTGCTGTGCGTTCATCTCATCCAGGAGAATGTAGACCGGGACGCGGCGCGAGGCAGCCTCCAGCACCTCACTGAGCAGGTCCACATCAGTGAACATGTCCATCACCACTGCCACCACCTGCGGGGATCGTGTCAGAAACGGAGGCAGACCCCTCCACTATCCCCACCATTCCCTAACCAAACCTCCAGGGTCCTGGGCGAGGTGGTGGTGGGGGAGCCCTCTGGATCACCCACAAACACTGCAGAACAGCCATAAGTCCATCCCACGGGAGAGTGGGGCCCTGTCAGGGAATGGGGGTCAGGAGGAAGGGGCCTGTCAGAGGGAATGGGGGGCTGTTGGGGGGGCCAGGGCATGATGGAGCCCTAGGCAGCACAGGGCCTGCATCCTGTTGGGGACCCCCTGCCCTACAGATGTCCGAGCTCCCCGGACGCCAGGGCAGGGATCAAGGCTGGGCCCCAAGCTCCAGTTCTGCCCCTGGGAGGGGGTCACCGCCCGAGGGACAGAGGGCAGAGGCAGGGGTCTTCAGTGTCTGGACCTGCTGCCTCAGTCTCCATGGTTTAACAGGGTCTCTTCGCTGTTTGCCAACTGCCTGGTTGGGGGTAAGAAGCCCTCACCTGGGTCAAGGGCAGGACTAGAGAGAATTCTCTGAACAATAAATCCAGGCCAGGAGGGGCCCAACCATCCCAGAGCCACTGCGTTTCTGGGCCCTGGCCACGACCATGGGCAAGCAAACCTGGGCCTGCAATAACCAAACCCTTGGTAACCCGGGAAGAAGTCTGTCTGAGAGCTCGAGCTGCAGCCTGAAGGCCAGCCGGCCAGCCCTGGCCTCCCCTCGCCCCAGAGCTGGGCATGCTCATGTCTCCTCCACCCTCACACCCCTACTCATGCTGCAAGGTCCAGCTCAGGCTGCCTTCCCCACTGCCCGCCGAGCCTGACGCTGCACCTGCTGGGCAGAGCGGATCATCCTTCGAGCCTCATCCTTGATGCTGGGGCTGTCAGGCGGCGGTGGCTGCACCAGTGTGGTCACCTCAGTGCCCTGGAAGCCGAAAGTCAGGGGCCAGCCTAGGTCGAGCTCGGGCACTGCCTGGTCGGAGTTCACGGGCCAGTAGGTGCCTGAGGAGCCATCCATGTCCACATTGGGAGGGCTGCCTTCCGGTGGATCAAGGGCCACATGCTGCGGGGGCCGCAGGTGGCGGCTCACGTGGTCCAGCTCCTCAGGGCACAGGAAGGCAGGTGCCCCCTCGGACGACAGGAAGCGGCTGTAGGCCTCAGGCCCGCCCTCAGCCAGTGCGTCCACCGCCAGGCGGTAGTACTCTTTGTAGTGAGGTGGCAGGTACCCAGGAGCCAGTGGGTTGTCCCCCTGCGAGGAGCTCTGGGAGCGGCGGGCCATGTTGGCGCCAGGGGCCTGGGGGAAGGGCAGGGAGACACATTACTGGGGCAGGGGCACTGGGCCCATGGCCCCCCCCCACATGTGCACATGTTGTAGAAGGGATCGTCAGTGACGTGGGTGGGCTGTGGAGTTCAGCACGTGCCTGGAGGCCTTCCATGGCACCCCAGACCCTCGGATGCCACCAAGTGGGGGACAGCAGCACCGTGCCTGGCACAGATAGCCTGGCCTCGTCTCTGGGTGCTCTGGCCATGCTGGTGGGGCCCTGGATCTCACCAGGACCCAGGGAAGGCCGCGTGCCCCTGCTTCCAGGGGGGCTGCGGCTCCACATGACCCCCCTCAGGTCACTTTATGGCCTCTGTGGCCCCAGGCACTTCTGCTTTGTGGGCCCTTTCCTCCATAAAAAAAAATCAATGATGTTTTATGACTGCTGGTATAAAGAAAATACAATCCAGGATGAATTCTTTATTATTATATTCACTCTTTTCTTGTGATTTTATAGCATGAACGCATTTTCGTGGGCCCCCGCCACTGTGCCTACTGGACAGGTTGGGCGGCTCACTGCCTGTGTGTCTCTGTCCCTGGTGTCGGAGGACCTGCTCCCCCTGCCTCCTTGGCTCATTACCTCAGCTGTAAAATGCAGCCGTGGAGGCTGCCGACACACGCCTGCCTGGGTGAGCTCACCTGAGGCTCAGCACTGCAGGCCCTGGCCACACCCGCAGCCGAGTACAGGGTTTCACACTCTGAGCCCCATAACCACTCACTGACCTCGTAGCCCTCTGAACCCTGACCCCTGCCCCTTGTCCCTGTCGACCAGGAACCCCCTTCCCGTTGGTCCACCACTCCAGCTCTCCGGCCACTTTCCCATCTTAGATATAACTTCCCTGGGCCACAGCCCCTGGCCCGCCCTCCCAGCCACGTACTTCACACCCTGCAGAGCCAGCTGCAGCCTCCTCCCTCCCCAGAGCTTGGAGTCTTGTCTCTGCCAAGCACGGCCCTGCTCACAGTGGTGATCTCTCCAAGTCTGGTCACCGCCCTGCTCCCCGCTGCACTCGGATGAAGTCAGGGCCCTTTGCTGCGGCCCTCAGGCTTGTCCTGGGTTCCAAATGTGCCTCTCCACCCTCATGGCTCGCTCCAACTTCACACCGCCACCCACACACCACTGGCTCCACTCCAGCCCACCTGCCTCCAAAGGGCCTTGTGGGGGCCTGGCCCCAGGAAAAGCTGCCATTAGCCAGGTGGGGGCCTCTATCTGGCTCCCAGGGCCCAGCTACACACCATCCCTGAACCACCTGGATCCCCGCCCTCCTCCTCCCCCGGAAGGAGCCCCAGGCACTGCTTGCCCCACCCCTGCTGTTCCTCAGGGTGGGGATGGGCTGGGACTCTGGTCGCGCCAGCTCGCAGGTTCCTGGATCTTGGTCCTGGCTGGGGAAAGTGCTTCTGCCAGACTGCGCCCCCTCCCCAGGTGCAGCTGGAGACATTGCCTGAGCACGTGAGGGGTCAGGACTCTGTGTATGATGACCTGGGGACCTTTCCTGTCTGCCTTCCCGGGGGGTTGGGGGGTGGCGGGGTGGGGGGGACTGGACAGGCTAACTGAATGTGATGTGGAGCTGGGAGGTGGGGGAACCAACCTCTGCATGCCACTCAGTCCACACCGGCAGAGATGCTACCCGGGCCAACTGTCTGAGGAAAAGCTGTTCTGACATTCCCTTGTGGGGGCACTGTCCTCTGACTGCATCCAGTTACATGCAGGGTGGCCATATTGTCCTCATCCTACATGCACTAGATTGAGGCTGACCACGCCGGGGTGTGGCACATTCAGTGCCGGCCTGAATGTGTACTGGGGTCTCACACTATCTGACCACAGTGGGGGGGGGGGGTGCCTGACACTGTATCTGACCACCGGGGGCGGGTAGTGTCTGACACTGTATCTGACCACAGTGAAGGTGCCTCACACCGTATCTGACCACAGTGGGGGTGGGGTGTCTCACACAGTATCTGACCACAGTGGAGGGGCTGCCTCACACTGTATCTGACCAAAGTGTGGGGGGAGGGTGCCTCACGCTGTATCTGACCATGGCGGTGGGGGGGGGGTGTGCCTCACACCTTATCTGACCACAGTGAGGGTGTCTCACACTGTATCTAACAGGGCACTGTGGTATCTGGCTGTACAGGGTCAGTGGCTGACCATGCAGGGCTTGGGGGCACTATCCTGCTGACTACATTTGAGGGTGGCACCTCCTAAGTCCAGGGAGGCTCACTAGAGGGGATCCCTACTGACTTCACTGGGGAGGGAATCAACAGTAACTGTCCAGGCTGCGTGTGACAGGGGGTGGGGTGATCCCATGAGGGCAAGAGGCCTTCTCATCAGATAGGACTGGTCAGGAAGGGGCACCAGTCCTGCGTGACCACCAAGGTGGCCCTGCTCGGCCTGACACAGCAATACCCGTGACCTCAATGACCTTATTCCTTTGCCTGTTTCCTCTCATGGTCTGCACACCTCTGACCTGTGGACTAGGCAGTGGCCACTCTCCAGCCGGCAATGGGGAGCCCCAACAGGGGCCTCCTCGCATATTTGCCTACCAACCGCCTGCCCTAAGGGAGGGAGGGGCGCTTATCCCACTCAGGCCAATGACTCAGCAGGAATCCGCTCCTCTGCCGCTGACCTCTGACCTCTGACACAAGCCAGACAAAGCCTCCAGGGCCCTGGTGGGCTCCCTAACCAGGGACTTCCAGCCGCCGATCCTTCCCACCTGGGCAGAAGATGAGGTTTCTAAGTAACTAGAAGGAGGATCCTGAGGGAAGGATCTGGCGCTAACGCAGGAGGTGACGTGACCCTGCCCAAGTGCAGACAGGGGCAGGAAGGGGCTCCCCGCAGGAAGGACTGGAGGCGTTAGGCAGCGGGGAGGTAAAGAGGGGATTCGGCTGGACGGGCTCATAGACTGGAAGTCGGTGAGTTGTAGTTTTCGGGGTGTGCTATCGCAGGGCCCAAGGGGGTTAGTGCACCTCAGGAAGTTAGCGGCTGCCTGGGTTGGGTGTCCCATCCACCCACCCCAGTCCACGAACTTGGACGCGAGGGAACGCGGGCCTTCTGCTCTCCCGCACTCCACGCAGAGAACCAGACCGAGCGCTGGCCACCCCCGTCCATGGCGGCCTGGGCGGGGAGCCCCCAGGGAAGGGTCTAGGCCGGGCCCAGCACCCTCCCCAGACTCCAACTAGGCCGCGAGGGCGGGAGCGAGTCACGACGGCTTGGGCAGCCTCGCCTCTGGCCCCTTCCCACTCGGCTCCTCCTGGGCCGGCGTCGTGCGAGGGCGCTCGCGTCCACACTGGCCTCTGCGGCCGCGACGTCCCCTCGCCCGCCCCCCCCCCGGCC